ATGTACTTTGCTGTTTCTGATTATGCACTAACATTTACATGTGGGAATCCGAGTCCCTCATTTAGGATGCAGAAATATGCCCATGAGAATAAAGCCAATAAATAAAGTATCCAAAAAAGATCCTATTCACTGACTTTTTTGTATGGAAAAGGAATTACATCTGCTAGAATTAGATTCAGCTGCATATGACAAACCCAAAATAACAATGGCTTAAATAAGATAGAAGTTGAAGCCTCTCTCATAGAAAATAAATCAAACAGGGTAATCCAGATTTAGTATGGCAATTCCACAAAGTCATCAAGGACTCAGACTCCTTTTAGCTGACTACTTCCTATTCTCTAGTGTATGATTCTCACCCCAAATGGCTGTCAGAGCTCCAGCCATTATAACTGCATTCCAGGAAGCAGGATGAAGGAATGGGGGTAGAGGGATGTGTTATCTCTCTTTTTAAAGGCTATATCTCAAAGCACCACTCAATACTCCAATATCTTCCTACTAGATAGAACTTAGTCACACGCACTCACCTGGCTATAAAGGGGGCTGGGAAATATGCTCTCTGGCTGGACAGCAAGGTGCTCAACTAAAAACCAGAGTTTTATTATTACTGAAATGGAAGGTATTAATGAATATTCAGGGGAAACAAGGGGAAAAAAGGTTTCCTTTTTGAATACAGGACACTGGATTAGGTGATGAATTCTACCAATGGGGGTGTCACTGAATTTAAACAATCCACCATGTTCTAAAGTTCTTCTAATGTCCAGAGGTCAAATAACCAAATAGAGAACACAGGTGGACAGGAGAAAATGCAAATGTTGGTAAGTAATCAAATCTGAAAGGTGCTTCAATCATTATTCTAGGCCCAAGTACTTATATGAATTTACAACTATCCTCAAACATGTTTTAGTTACATTAGTATTTAAAAACACTATCAGAAAATTTGTACATCTGTAATTTGAATGTCAGTAGACTTCCTTAGTCCCTGATGCCATGCACAAGGCAGTCTTTTCTCTTTCGTGATGAAACATTTGAGAAAAACACATGCATTAACTTCAAAAGCACTAATACCCCCAAAAAGTTACTTTTTACAAAAGATTTTTGAGAAGATAGAAGTCACTTCACAGACAACAAATGTCTTTGAAATTGTCTTTAAATATTTTTTCCTTAATATTCCACTCATGGCATTTACCCTATCCTCCTCTCAGAAAACTTCCCAACTTCCCACAATCACTTTATATAATCCAACTGCACTCAGTAAGACAAAGACTGCCAAATAATCCTCAATCCTGTATATATATATAAATATATATATATATATACACACACACACACATATATACACACACACAGTACTGCAATAATTGCTCTTTTGTGTATCAGTACACAGCACTGTACACAGCACAGTAAGACAAAGACTGCCAAATAATCCTCAATCCTGTATATATATATATACACACACACACAGTACTGCAATAATTGCTCTTTTGTGTATCAGTACACAGCACTAAAATAAGGATATGAAGTAGATGCCAAGAAAGGAAATATAAGAGATGTCTTCTAGCAACAGAGTCCTTAAAAGATAGTTTAAGATTTGATAGTTCTCTTAAAGTTATGGTCCACAACCTTATGCTTGAATATAAGTTAATAGCACTTTGTTTTTAATGTGAATATAATATCCACTATAAATTCCAAAAGAATTCATAGTCCAAAGTTCTGCCCACTATATATTACTACTTGCACACAACTTTACACAAAAGGACCTAAAATCTAACAAATGCACAACGATAATTTGGAGATTCTTTTTCCAAACTCTCTATATTGCTAAATTTTTCCACACAGGCTTCTACAGCTCTCAAGGTATACTAAGTCCATTTCTGCTTGACAAGCAACCTCTTGACTAAAAAGTAATAAATAAATAAATAAATAAATAAATAAATAAATAAATAAATAAAGTGATAGCAAATGAGAATATAATAAAGAGAAAAAATATTTTTTTAAAGATTGTATTTATTTATTCATGAGAGACACAGAGAGAGAGAGAGAGAGGCAGAGATACAGGCAGAGGGAGAAGCAGGCTCCAGGCAGGGAGCCGGACGTGGGACTCGATCCCGGGACTCCAGGATCATGCCCTGGACTGAAAGTGGCACTAAACCACTGAGCCACCCAGGCTGCCCGAGAAAAAAATATTTTAAAAGCAAGCACACATTGAAAAAATTTCTTATGAGCTGCTAAGCTTTTGAAAGCAAAAAAATTCTCTCTCAGAATTACATCAGATTGAAAAAAGCTGCCTGGCTTAAAAAGGAAGAACAGAAGAGAAAATTATCTTATCCTCCTTCAATAATGGGTGGCCCCCCCAAAAAGAATGAGGAACAAATTACATTATTATTTTTAAAAGCTCGTGGTATGTTATTTAAAACGTGACTAAGGTTATGGTCTACTGATATTTAGCTGTTAGGCATGACTCCAAGGAAAGGCTACTAATTAGTGGAAGAGTAACTCACACCCATGAACATCTGTTATGTGTTCATTAATTTCAACAAATCTCTAGACCAGCTACAAGTCTTAGTATTCAAAAGTACACAACAATCATCAAATCTAAGAACAAGATCAGGAAATACGATTCTGTCTTACAGAAACCACTGAGAATTTACAAATACAAATTTGTAGTACATTAAAAAAAAATCCAGAAGTAACTTATCCTAAATGTGATTAAAAGAGTTTACATTTGAGATTAGATATTAGCATTAGGGAGGCATTCCCTATAAGCTACCCAAAAGCAGCTACCTTGAAACATAATCAAGTGAAATTTATTTCTCAAATTACACAGTTTATTGAAATTAAAACAGTATAGGTGCTAAAGGAAGGGGTTCTGAAAACAAATCAGCATGGCCATTGAATATTTTCAATGGTATATTAAAAAAAAGATATAATATTTCAATGTGTTTCCTGCAGTGGAGACGGTTCAGATACCAGATGATTGGTCATGGTTTTAGGAAGGAAATTATTTGTAGTAGAAAAAGGACAAGTTTCAGACTACAAGAGTTTGACCAAAACATGACACATCACAGCTATTCCTTCATTTTAAGCTTGGGTTCAACAAGCAATATCCTAATTTGTAATTAGGCTGTCATTACTTTGTCAATAGGCAGACCTGGATATAAAGACTGATCCAAGGGGGATAGGCATAAGATCTAATCAAAATCTTTTTAGAGGGATCATATGAATTTTGATATATATGGGTGAGGCCTATTCTGAGACCTCTAGTGAAAGACCATTTAAGTCTAGATTTCCTGGTGGGTATCTTTCCTCCAACATAAATAAAGCCTGCATGAGTTAAAAGCCAGAGAAGAGGAAAGCATCCCAGAGGGGTAAGGAATTCCAATTCCAATAAATGCTATTTTTCATGAGATTTATGCTATTTTCTATCAAAAAACTCTTATACAGTGGATATGATTTGTGCTTTTATGTCCATCAGTGATCTGTGTCACCTATATGTCACAAATGATAATGCTTATAAGCAAACTCCAGGACAGCACAGCTACAGAAATAAACATGTTCATACATATTATTCTTGTGCATTTATAACTCAGAATTAAAAAGGAGAAACACAAATCTATTGGTACAACTGACACCTAAAACAACAACAACAACAAGAGTTCAGAAACTACATATATTTATTTGAGAAAACAAACACAAGAGTATTTCACAGGTGAATTAGAGCTAGGTGTTCCTTTGGCAGCATTATAACATCACCAAAGCAAGAAAAAGCAATTCTTACCCTACAGGCTTAAAAATATCAGCAGGGACCAAAAAGTCCATCAGTGGGAGGAATGTCATTCCTTCTTCAGTGTTGAATACAATTTATTTTTAATTTTCTTTCTCTAAATTTTCTTCCCAAAGAAGCTAACTATAAAAGGACCAAGGAGCTGGGATCATTTGTTGTTGTCATCTGGCAGGAAAACGAGGGACTCCTTCCAAGGATACCAAGTACCAGTGTGAACTAGCCCCCAAGATGGGAATATCGCAATGAAAACAAAGGCAAGCAGCTTGGCACCAAGGCTGCACAAAGCTTCAAAATTAAAAGGAAGAAAATTTAATTTTATGCAGGAAACAGAAAATCGAAGAGTCAAATGGTAGAGTTCAAGTGCCAAGAGAAAGGTGTTTTTAGCAGCAATACTCTGTGAAGAAAGGGGAAAACCAGGCCAACCAGAAAGGCAGCTGTTGCAACAGAGGATGTCTTAAATGCAAAGACCATTTATAGTCATTTCCCCTGCAGAAGCTTGGCCCTCTCCACCAAACCTGATTAAGAATAAGAAATCCTTGTTTCATTTGTCCTTTAATACTTCTGACTCAGAACCCTTGTCAAATGAGCTCTTTTGAACACATTTTGACTTTCAGGTTAAATGTTAAATAAATAATGTAATAGTCACTCTCTTCACATAGCAACTTTTCCTAGGCCAACAAAAACATGCCTAATCTTGCCCATAAAAAAAAAAATAGATAGCACAGTCTATTCCAAATGCATGCAACAAAGAAGTAACATTTAGTTGATACCACAACTCTGAAGAGGGAGACATTAAAAGACACAAAAACATATTACTGCAGAAAATTTCAATGTTGCTATTACCTGATTTTTGCTACATCTGTCATATGTATGCACCATATATGCATACAAGGTATTTGATTAATGAAAAAAAGTATCAAAAATGAGTGAAAGGAGAACATGCAGTTCTCCCTAAGACCATTAAGCTCACACTTCCACCACACTTTGGTCATCTGTGAAATAAAGGTATTGGGCTAAAATGTCACCTTGAGCTCCCTTGCAGTATCCACCTTTGATGATTCTAATATTCCAGTGACCCCAGGTCTATTGTGCCAGCCTTCTAATCTGTCTGCCAGATTTCCTCCATGTCTACAATCATTGCTCAAATGACTACAGGGCTTTGGGGAAAGCAATTATTTTAAAGACAAAAATGTGAATTTTTTCAGTCCTCTTATTTAAGGAATTTAAAGTACTTCAACAGAGCTCTGCCACCACCACCTGCACTGCAACTACGCTACCCTATACCACCATCTACTTCCCTGTTCAAAGGCGCTGCAAGGCCATGCACATGCTGCTGGCTGACCAGGGCCAGAGCTGGAAGGAGGAGGTGGTGACCATGGAGACTGGGATGAAGGACTCACTCAAGGCCTTCTGTCTGTATGGGCAGCTCCCCAAGTTCCAGGACAGAAACCTCACCCTGTACCAATCCAGTGCCATCCTAGGACACCTGGGCTACTCCCTTGGGCTCTACAGGAAGGACCAGCAGGAGGCGGCCTTGCAGGATGTAGTGAACGATGTTGTAGAGGATCTCCACTGCAAATACATCCTCCTCATCTACACTAACTACGAGGCAGGAAAGGAGGAGTATGTGAAGGCACTATCAGGTTACCTGAAGCCTTTTGAAACGCTGCTGTCCCAGAATGAGGGGGGCCAGGCCTTCATCGTGGGCAACCAGATCTCCTTCGTGGACTACAACCTGCTGGACTTGCTGCTGATTCAACAGGTCCTGGCCCACAGCTGCCTGGACTCCTTCCCCCTGCTCTCAGCCGATGTGGTATGCCTCAGTGCCAGACCCAAGCTCAAGGCATTCCTGGCGTCCCCCAGAGCATCAATGGCAATGGGAAGCAGTGAGAGCTTATGGAACCCTGGGTGGGAAGCTGGGGGGCTGCCTGACTTCCTTTCTCCTTGACCAGTAAAATTTTCAAGTGAGAAAAAAATAAAGTACTTCAACAAACTCAGGTTGTGTCTGTATGTTAAGTGTTAACTGCCCTCCCTCTTTCAGTCAAGGGTGGACTGATTAACCCACTTACCCACCATAATAAGGAAGAAATGGAGTCAGAATATATGCCTGAACAGCTTGTGTCCCTGATCTAAATTAGGGATGCAGTGTTCCTGAACAAAAAATCCCATTTTAACCCCAAAGAATCTCTCAAATGGTAAAACCGTTATGATAAGGGTCTATGCTTTCACTTATAGGCCACCTTTACTTGAGGTATGGAATATTTACAACAGTACTGTCATCAGCAAAAACTCACATAGTGCTTACTAGGTGCCAGACATTCTTCCAAGTGTTTATGAATATATCGATCCATTTAATCATCTCAACAACTCTACAGGTAGGTGCTATTATCACCCTGTTTCACGATTAGAAAAATGAACTACTGAGGCACATAATTAACTTGCCCCTGGTCACAGTACATAAGCAGCAGAGCTAGCATGCAATGCTGGTAGTTTGGCTTCAGAGCCCATGCTCTCAACCACTCCACCATATGCAAGTCAGGGTAAGGAGCACAAAAATACCCATCTCTTTCCACTGTTCAGTTTCCTTCTGCTACCTCGTTTGGCTGCATTTACTAAGCACTCAATACAGCTAAATGAACAAAATTTGTGCCTGGAACTGGAGATACTGACTTAAGGAAAAGCAAACATCCATGTACACACAGGAAAAGAAAATGAAAATACTTAGAATCTCATTTAGAATAACCTCATGAATTTATTTAATGATCTTGGTCCAGTTTTTATACATTTTGTATTTCATATCTCCCTGCCTCCCTCTGTGTAATTATTCACTTGAAGGAAAAAAAATGCAACAAATATAGACAATAAATTTTTCTTTTTTCGTCCCCTAGTGCCAAGAACAGTGAAGTTCAGTCCTGCATCAAAGGGAATTATTTTCTGTAGAGTCATCAATTAATTACCATCACCAAAGTAAGTGTAAGCCTAGAATTTCTTTCATATTCAATTCTCATTTATATTGATGGCATCATTTTCAATATGATTTGCGAAATGAGGTTCTTTGTTCAGAGTAGCTGAAACAGAATGGACACATACTCCAGTCTTATTAAACCAGTGCATGGCTCAACATAAGCATCATCTGGGAGACTTACTTTTAAAAATGATGCTGGGGCCTCACCTGAAGAGCCTAATTCAACTGGTCAGGGATAGGTCTGAGCATTAGTAGCTTTAAAAATTTCCCAGGTGACTAGAATGTGCAGCTACACTTGGCTGGCACCATTTAAATGCTACTCAGGGCTTGTCAAACTTTAATATGCACACACATCACCTAAGGATCTTACTTAAAATGCAGATTCTAACTCAAAAGTTCTGGAATTTGGCCTGAGATTGTAATTCTCCCATGCTCCCAGGCCATGCAGATACTGCTGGCCTATGGACCACACTTTGAGCATCAACCTTCCATTCCTCCATTAGTAACTTAACTAGTATGAAAGGTGAAAAGCGGTAGAAGGGATATTACAATTTAAGGTAATTTGTATATTTTACTTCTATGTAAAAAGACAATTATTTTTAAAAAGTAACTTGAACCCACTAGAAATGATTATATAACACAGGGTTCCTGTGAACTAAGTGAACTTATATGCATGAAGCATTGAGGGGCTGTTCCTAGCCCAGAATCAGTACTCAATAAGTATTATCTGTTTTATTACTATCTTATTCATAAATGAGCAGCAAATGATGACCACCCATATCAAAAACACTCATTGCTTGGGGCAGCCCCAGTGGCACAGCGGTTTGGCGCCGCCTGCAGCCCAGGGCATGATCCTGGAGACCGGGATCAAATCCCATGTCAGGCTCCCTGCATGGAGCCTGCTTCTCCCTCTGCCTGTGTCTCTGCCTCTCTCTCTCTCTCTCTCTCTCTCTGTCGCTCATGAATAAATAAATAATATCTCTAAAAAAAAAAAAAAAACAACACTCATCGCAAATACATAACTTGTATTCTGGAAAAATATGGCTTCTACTTGTTCAGTCTTCATATTATGTAATTCTCTCTTATACTTAAGATTTGGTACAGAGATAAAACATTCGCTCTAGAGCTGAAATCTGCATTATTGATACCATGGTATCTGGGAGCAGCTTTAAAACACTTCAGTGAATAAAAAGAAAAGAAAAAAAGCATAGGGAAACCAAATATAGTGAAATTTGGTATGTCAGTGCTTATTAACCTGTATACGGCGTGAACTGCTCTTCTTTCACCTTCTATGAATGCTCGCATATCCTTCAAAATAATTTTTAAATGTTCTGTTTTTGGATCTCAGCTTCACCACTAATTAGCTCTGTGATGATGAACAAGTAACTTCTCTGACCCACAGTCTCCTCTTCAGAAGAGGATGCCATATTAATCACCATATTAATTACCTTACAAGGGTAACTACAGGGATTAAAGGAAACAGCATTATAAATAAATAAATAAATAAATAAACAAATAAATAAATAAATAAATAACTGACATCAAGCAGGTCACATCATAAAGATAAATTTAATTTTAACCCAATAGGCCAATTTAAAGAGGAGTAAAAAGAATGGCAAAATGTTTCTAAAATGGAAACAAGTAGGGCTGTGAAGACAGAAAAGGGTGTGCCATCACGCTACCATCCTAGTGCTTTTCATTACCTCTTTCTTAACATTCTAGACCAGATTCCATCAGAAATAGCAAGAAGTATGGTGTGCCTGGCTGGCTCAGTTGGAGGAGTGTGCAACTCTTGATCTCAGGGATGTGAGTTCAAGCCCCACGTTGGGTATAGACATTAGTTAAATAAATAAGACTAAAAAAAAAAGAAGAAGAAGAACAAGGAAGAAAGGGCGAGCAACAAGTAGCATATAGTGAATTCTCCAGAATGCATATCCTGAGAGAAATGCATAAAAAGGTTTCCTTCATGACAACACAAATCAAGTAAGGGTGACCTATAGACAGACACCACTTCTAACTGCTTCACTATTGCCCTGACTACAAGTAGCATGGCTTTTCCTCCTACTCACTCCCTTCATTTATGAAAATCTCTGAACAGTAGCTGGGGATAGCAGTGCAGGAGGAAAGTAATGTCTTGAATACATGCCAAATAATCAAAAGCAAAATATCACTTCTGGTGCTATCTCCTCATAGGACAGAAGTTCAAATAAGAGCAGATGGTACCTTTATTACCTGTAATGTAATTACAACATGATTATACAATCATTTAAAAATATCCATTATTGAAGATAATTCCATGATTCCAGAAAGAAATCATTCATAAAACCTCAGAGCTGGAAACTTCGCACAGAAGTACACAATTTCATAAAACACAGTTTAGCATAAAAGTGAAAGGAAAAATTATTAAAAATAGTGTACTAAAAACTTAAGCACATTTCCATTTTTTAAGAATATGTAGAAGCAATGTCATACTGAGTCTCACTTGTGTCCATTCCAATTGACTTGTAATCAAATACTGTAATTCAATGGGACTCAGAGGGACATGCCTCTTCTCCATAAGAAAAAAATTCTACAATCTGGAACGTACTACAAATATGTTAGCCTCCTTCATTATTCAAGAAAGAGTAAAAATAGGTGAGTTCAGAAGTTGTATTTACTAGAGAAATCCTCAAAAGCAGCACTCTTGGGATGCCTGGGAACCTCAGTGTTTGAACATCTGCCTTTGGCTCAGGTCGTGATCTTGGGGTCTTGGGATCAAGTCCCACATTGGGCTCCCCACAAGAGAGCCTCTCTCCATCTACCTCTCATGAATAAATAATATCTTTTTTAAAAAGGCACTAAGTTAATCTTCTACTTCACAATTACACTCTTAGGATACAAATGAAAGCCATACTTAAAATGCATATTTCTTACATATTGCTCACGCAAATGGAATGCTTAGTCATTGATTATTTCACTTAGATAGTCCTTTTTAAATACAGATTTACCTTATACTTTTTCCTATACTAATAACATTCAAATTATCTATGTGTACAGTAATAAACTCCAGGCATAATCATATCTTAGTACCAGTTTCCTTAAAAGGTAAGGCTTATTTCAGGCAAGGTCTAGGCCAAGGATTAAAATAAACATACATAGCAGAAAAATTTTAATATATATTTTGGTTTTTTTAGGCCATGAAATGCCTTACACTTCAATATGTATAAATTAATAAAACAAGAATTGTCAATAAAATGCCCTAGTTGTACTGGCATCTAAGAATTAAAGTTATCTACTTTTTTTCTTCTATGTGTTAATGAACTCTTTTAAGAAACCACCAAATAAAGGTCATATTTGAAGTCTAAGGTTCACAGAAATGTCACAGGGGGAAATAAAGAAAGGAAAAGGAAATACAAACCCAAACTGATTCCAGCAGGGAAGAAATTTTCCCACATATAGAGGTATTAGCCATGAAGCAAGGGACAGCCAGAGGCCTCAGAATGAAATTGAGGCTCCCTGAATTTACAGACTCAGGGAATCAAGGCAGGGTGCTAAATCTTCCATTCCACCTGAGCCTGTAACTGCAATTAATTGAGCTGCAGGACTTCTCAAAATCAGTCAAACCAGGTTCAGTCGGATAAGATGTGTGTTCAGTAATCATGTGAACAAATATATAAATTTACTTAATCAACTGCCTCAGAGAAGTATCAAAATTCTGAATCTGAATCATCACCCTTTCCTTTAAATAATTACAACATCACTTGAAAAGTGTAACTAGGCTAGTCCCAAGCATTTGTCATAGTACAGAAGAGTTATAAGTGGTAAATGAAAAATTCTGATCTCAAAATAATTTGCATTTGCATCTAAAATGTCACAATGAAACCACATAACTCCCTCCTCAAAATGTTTCATGTGACGTCTCCTTGAAGTGGCTTTCACTTTAGCTATGTGTGGCTTCCTTTATTTGCTTTAGTGACAAAAATACGAAAATGAATATAAAGCAG